AGGGCAGTGTCTGTTTGTTGAAATATGTCAATTGGTACGCTGTCAATTCCTGGAGCCTTGTTTTTTGCCAATTCCTTCAGAGCAATTTGAACTTCGGGGCATTTTTGATGTGCAAACAGATAGAAAGTTATACCATGAAAGGTCTTTCTTATTCTGCAAGAAAAGTTATTTCCTTCTAGTAAAAGGGTGATTCTAATGGTGAATGCTTTTACCCTAAGACTTTTGACATATTTTCTAATATGTACAGATAGTTCATTGTCAAAGTCAAGTTTGTGATGCTACTAGAGAATAAGAGTGGTCCATAGGGTAAGGGTAACTAACAAAAAAAATGAGCCTTCAAAAAAAAGCTTTATCTATCACTCACCATTAGTAAGCAGCAGGCAATGAAGAAGATGACGAAATCCCACAATAGGGCAGAAAACCAGTATATAAAGATGTAGGTTCCTGTCATCAGCTGGATATGCTTTGTCTTGGTGACTCTCTCAATCACTGTCAGGAGGCAAAAGCCACTAATCAAAAGAGCCATGCCAAAATGCACATTTAAAGCCACAATGCCTCCAGCTGAATCCCTGTAGAAGAAGGAACAAACAACACAGTGATATGTTAGCAAATCAATGGAGTGGAAATGGGATTGTTCTAGCAATGGTTGTTCATCATATGAATGTAATCAGCTTGGCCAGGATAAAGAGATACTGAAAGTGCAAATCTCTGATGAAAAGAATAACCTACTTGCTGGGGAGATCGTCATCATCATAGGGTGGTTGGGGTTTATTGAAGACAGTTATGGAGCCATCAGGGCCAGAAAGTGCCTTGACAAAAATGTTGTCTAACACTGTCAGGGCTATAGATGGTGAATGGTACGCCTCATTGTTGAAAAGAGCAGTTAAGACAATTTCCTTTTTTTTTTCTTCAATGGAAAATGCAACAATGCATGCACGATTACAGTCTTTATCTGTTATCAAGTAATCCACTACATTACCTAGGATAAAGAAACAATATTGGTCAATGCATGACAACATAGAATTTTTATAATATATGTTAGAGAAGTTATTGTGGCTGTTGTGTACCCTAGAGTTGGAGCTGACCCATAGCCAAACTTCCCACAAGTTTTCAGAGACAATTAATCACATGGGAAAAGATTGTTCATCCTTCTCCCATGAAGCAGCTGAGAAGAAGCAAATAATGTTAGTGAAGAGGAAGCAAATAATTTCACTTCCCCCCCCCATTAATTTTAACTTTCTAACAGTGGTTATTTCACACATTTCCATCTGATCTTTAAATACCAAGATCTCTCACACCATACTCTACAACATAACAGAGAAAGCAAACACAAGCAACTTGGTGTATCCTCTTTTAACTCAAATTTCCTGTTTCAAGCCCATTTATAGATACTTCCAATGAAAGCTATGATTGATGTCATGGATTGAATTATGAATATCAAAGTAGGTATCAACTTGGCTGGGCCATAAATCTCAGTAATTTGACAGTTATGTAATGATGTAATATGCTAGATATGTAATGAAATACTAGTCCCACAGGATGTGATATGATCAGCAGTGACTCAGTTTTTAAGGGATTGAGTGGGATGCAACACATCATTTATGGCAGAGTCCTTAGCTAAAGTGGAGGAGTTTCCCTGGATTATGGTTTGCATCACCTTTAGTCTTACAAGAGACAAAAGGAGAGAAATGAGCAGAAAGAGGATAGGACCTACTTACACACAGAATGAAGAGGCAGGATTAAAGCACATTCTTTGGGCCTTGGACTTGGACTTTGCTGGGAATATCCTAGAAAGAGGATGGATATCCTGGAAACAGAAAGTTTTTCACTAGAGCTGACACTTTGAATAGGACCTTTTGCCCTTTCAAGGTACTGCCCATTGGTTATGGGATTAACAAGCCACAGACTTGACAAGAGGCACAAGAATGTCAAGTCAGGATGCATTAGTGCTACTGAATCTTGACCGAGGCAAGGGTATAGCAAGGGTCTAGGGGACACTGAAGAGCTACAAGACCCACCAATTATTCAGAGCAAGAAGAAGAAATCAACAAGTACTATTGTGGGAAAGAACTGGCTTCTTACTCCTGACTAAGCAGCAAGGGAGAGCCTGTTCAGGATATGCGGAAAGGACATACTACACTGAGTTCTTTTGAACTCATAGCAACTCGATGGACAACAGAAGGATTATTACTTGGTCCTGAACAAACCTCACAATTACCGCTGTGCTTTATATCTCATGGTTGCAACCCCTACGTCAGTCCATCTCATTGAGGGTCTTTCTCTTCCTCCCTTAGCCTCTACTGTCTCTAGCATGATGTCCCATTCCAGAGATTGATCTCTCCTAATAATGCACCAAGGTGTATATAAGTTTCATCATCTTCACTTCGATGAAGGACTCAAATCATAATTAGAAAACAACACTTCTGTCTGCAAGAGACCAAAGATCGACAATTATTCTAAAGCAAAACTTAGAAGATGATAGGGCAAGGAAATGAGAGTACTAAAAATGAAACAATTAGAAAACAATTTTAATGAAAAGGTGGTTTGGGGTTTTTTTTGTACTTTTTACTTACAAAGTTCATATACATTGTTCTTCACATCGGATCTTTCCCCTTTCCTTTGCCACCCTGCCCATCACCCATCAAATTGTGTGACGCTATATGATTAAGCTCTCTCCCTCCTTGGAGCCTCATACTCATTCTACAATAATGGTCTTATACTGTGTTTGTCTTTATGAGGCTGGATTAGTTTACTCCAGTCCCTCCCATGTTAGGTAGTAATTTACAAAATCATTGTCCCTGTGTCCTGCTTAGTATTCCACTGTGTGAATGTATCATAATTTCTCAATCTATTCCATTGTAGTTGGACATTTGGGCTGTTTCTATGTTCTTGCTATGGTGAATAATGCTGCTATGAACATTAGTGTGCAAGTCTCCATGTGTACCTCTGTTCTCATTTTCTCAGGGTATATTCCAAGCAGTAGAATAGCTGATCATATGGACTTTCTATGTTCAGCTTTTTGTGGAAACACCAAACTGCTTACCAGAGTGGTAGTACTATTTTACAATCCTACCAACAATGCATAAGAGTTCCCATTTTACCACATGCTCTCCAGCATTTATGACTTGCTGCCTTGCTAAACTTTGCCACTGCTACTGGAGTAAGATGGTATCTCACTGTGGTTCGATTTGTATCTCTCTCTCTCTCTCTTTTTTTTTTTTGCTTCAGTTCAATGAAAGAGACTTTATTGAGGGCCCAGAGTCATGGGGCTCAGAAGAAGGCCACCTGCAAGAGGCAAGGGAGCCAGTGAAGAGGGGGCTCTTATTTGACCTTCTTCTTGGGGTGCAGGTTGTTGGTGTACCCACACTTCTTCTTGCGGCAATTGACAGCACGGGGATGCAGGCAAGCATAACACTTGCGGCAGATCATCTTGTCGCAGTTGTATTTCTGGGCGAGCTGGTGCAGGGAAGGCCCAATAATGTCACCACGCAGACGCAGCATCAGATGCAGGGTGGACTCCTTCTGGATGTTGTAGTCTGTACGGCAATCCTCCAGCTGTTTGCCGCAAATATCAGACGCTGCTGGTCAGGAGGGATGCCCTCCTTGTCTTGGATTTTGGCTTTGACATTCTCGATGGTGTCACTGGGATCGACCTCAAGAGTGATGGTCTTGCCAGTCAGGGTCTTCACAAAGATCTGCATCTTTGCATCCACTCGGCCGCCTCACTGTAGAGAAAGAGCTGATTTGTATCTCTCTTATTGCCAGTGATTTTTAGCATTTCTTCTTGTGTCTGCTGACCATCCAAATGTCCTCCTCTGTGAAGTCTTTATTTCCATGTCTTTTGCCCATTTTGTAATTGTATTATCGGTCTTTTTCTTGTGGGGGCCCAGGAGTATTCTGCAAACTTTCATTATGAGACCCTAGTCTGAGATAGTATTACCAAATGTTTGTTCCCAGTCAGTAGGTTTTCTTTTCACCCTGTCGGAAAAAGGTTTTGATGAGCACAAAGATTTACTCTTTAGAAGGTCCCATTCATCAATTTTATCCTCTTCAGATTGTGCATTTCTGGTTATATTTGGCAGTCCCTTTGTACCATAGACTAGGGCTTTTAAGCTTGGTCTCAAGTTTGTCTCTTATGAGTTTTATGGTTTTTTTTTTACTTTATTCCAAGGTCTCAAGTAATTTAGGTAGAATTGATGATAAATCTTCTCTGAATATTTGGTAGAATTCAGCTGTGAAACCATTTGTCCAGGCCTTTTTTTTTTTTTTGTGGGGAGTCTTTTTATGAATTCCTCAAAAGGTTGACAGGTGAAAAATGTAACTTCCTTACCAACTGCTACCCTCTCTCAGGTTTCTGGGGCTCTAAATCTTTATAGGAGAGGATACTGACCACTGTTCTCACTAGGAACTGCTGGTGAATTTGAACTGCCGACCTCTCAGTTAGCAGCCTGGTAAGGTATGCAAGTGTCACTGTACAAACTGTACAAAAACTGTAAAATGGAAACTTAATTTTCTTTTTAAGCTTTGGCCACAAACAAAACAGCTACCAAAAGATAAATATTGATGACGCTGAGGAGAGATTGGTACTCTCATAAATTGCTGGTGAGATTGTAAAATTATGTAACCTGTATGGAAGGCAGTTTGATGCTTTCTTAGAAAGGTGAATATAGAAATTCCATATGACCTAACTACTTTACTACTAGGAAAACACCCCAAGGAAATCAGAGCTGAGAAACAAACAGAGATACATACACCTATGTTCATCACAGTGTTATTCACAGTAACAGGAATGTACAAACAACCAAAACACCCATCAACAATTGAATGGCTTAGGGAAACTGGTATGTATATTCACACAATGGAATACTATGTAGCAATAAAGAACAACAAAGTCTTCGTAAAATACTGTATTATTGCAGACGGAGGGTGAAGTATTTTTATAATTATTAATAATGAGACAGACAACCAGGACTGTGATAAAACTGAGAGAGTGAAGACAGGGGACCAGTAGCTTCATCAACTGAAGGGCCTCAAGCCATGCCTCTCTTTGTGTATTTATTGATAATCAGGGGAAGTAGATCATAAAAAGAATTCCCTTGTAAATGAAGACTAATTTTTTTCTATTGTCAACCTAATGCTTTAGCTCAGGAAGTATTTCACACGTATTAACACTCTCTCTGTAGGGGTGCCCTAGCTACCTACCTCTTGTCTGTAGGAAACAGCTCATTTTCTGTCATCTGTCACAAGAGAAATCCTAACTTGTAAATTTGAAATTCCTTCAATTCCTGAACAAGCATATGTTTTTTTCATATAACATTTGGTATGAAATTTGGCTTCCCATACTACATAACATGGGAGAGTCCAGAGAGTATCACACAGAGTGAAGCAACTCAGTCACAAAAGGACAAATACAGCATAAGATCCCTATTGTGAAAATAGGAGCAAGATATGTGTAACCATTCAGCAGGAGAAGGGTGTAGAAGAGGGAGAAGGGAGGCCATCAGTAGGCTAGCAGAGGTTAGTGGCTGGATAGGTGGTCAGGTGAATGAATAGGAATGATTCAATGGAGACTTGAAAAGGCATAGATCAACAGTAATTAATTATATAAACACAATATATATGCATGATTATATAAATCATGCTGTACATGAGTAAAGATGGAGTAAAATATTAAATAAAAACAAAAAAGAAAAAATACGTTATATTTAAGAACTCAAAATATAATTAACACCAGTTGTGCACAAATTGAGAGCAAATCAATGACCTGAAAGACGGGTGATAAGGAAATACCCAAGCAAAGGTACACATAGGAAAAATGATGGAAAATAATAAGAACATCAGAAGGATATGAAGATAATACTACAAACAACACTATACACATAAATTTGACAACTTAGGTGCAATGAAGTATTGGCTCAAAATAGACAAATGGCAACAATTCAATCAGTATTAAATAACTTGTTTGTATAAGAAAAACTTTTAAGGACATTTAACCCATAATTATAAATTTTCCACAAGAGGAACTATGGGAAGCCAAACTTCACACCAAATGTTATATGGAAACCCTTGTTCAGGAATTGAAGGAATTACAAATTTATAAGTTAGGATTTCTCTTGGGACAGATCACAAAAAAGAGCTCTTTTCCCCCTGCAGACAAGAGACAGCTAGCCCCCCCCACCACCCCCACAGAAGAAGTGTGAAATATTTCCTGAGCTAAAGCATTAGATTGACAATAGAGGGAAAATTCGGCCTCATTTACAAGGAATTCATCTTATTATTTGTCTCCCCTGGTTATCAATAAATACCCAGAGAGGCATGGCTTGAGGTGCTTCAGTGGAGAACTGCTGGCCCCCTGTTTTATGCTCTTTCATTTTACGCTGTCTCATTTCTGGCTGTCTCATTATTAATAATTATAAAAATATTTTACCCTCGGTCTGCAACAGGGAATATCTAAAGCCAGATGGTGTCACTGAACAATTCTACCAAATGTTTTTTAAAAACCCACAAAACATTAATTCTACACCATATGGCCCAGGAAGCAGAAGGGGAAGCAATACTTTCAAGTTCTTTTGATGAAGATGGCTTGGTAGCAAAACCAGGAAAAGTCAAAGCCAAACAACCACCAACAGAAAGTCCACTCCAAAACAGATGTTTCATTAGCATAGCTACAAAACCCTCTTAACTATTAGTATGTTGTTGTTACTGTTGTGTGTAATCATGTCAGAACTGACCCTTCAGTAGGTTTTCAGAGTCAATAAATTGCACAAGAAGAGACTGCTCATCTTTTCCCATGGTGTAATTGGTGGATTTGAACTGCTTGCCACCTTTGAGATTTCAGCACAGTTTTTTACCACTTGGCCCCCAAAGCTCTCTAAATACCAGTATGTTGTTGTTGTTATTGTTGATTGCCATCGAGTTGAGCATGACTCATAGTGACCCTATGAACAAAAAGGCCTGAAGTCTTTCTGTATCATCATTTCTCCAAGTTTACAGAGTTTCCAGAGGCACGAGGTTTAGGAGGTAGATGCCACTCCTGCTTCCAAACTTGTCTTAAAACTGGAAGCTCTACCCAACACTGTCCTCTATGGGGAACCATAATGGTATATGATTCCCCAATGGTACAAAATTCAGCATCACAGCAAATCCAGATGACCTCAGTACAGCAACTTGAGAGAATATGACTTAGAAGACTATTCCTCCAAAATATAATTGTTGACACTAAACAAGAGGTTTAAATCAAAGATAACAACTCAATATTCCACATGGCCACACTAACATGTTGTTGTTGTTGTTGTTGTTATGTGCCGTCGAGTCGCTTGCTCTAAACTCAACAGCTCTAAACTCTGCTCTGTCCTGTGCCAATCTCATTGTCTCCGACACACTCACCCGATTGCCCCAGTCACCGCGAATCAATCCATCTCCCAGAGGGTTTTCCCCTCCTGCGCTTGCCCTCCACCCTCCCAAGCATGATGTCAATGGACTATGAACAGGAATAATGTAAAACAAAACAAAACACAACATCATAACAATTTTTGAAGGAAAAAAGAGCATTTGACCAAACTCAACATCTACTCATGATAAAACCTTCAAAGGATCTTTAAAGTCCCTGAGCTAGCATTATACTTAATAATGAAAGACTGTACTTTCTTCCTGTACTGAGAATCCATGACTAGGTTGGTTTTTGGTTGGTGGGTTTTTTGTTTGTTTGTTTTTGCTAATAAATAGAAAGATAACCCTTGATTGAAAACAAGTCCCAGCTGTTGAGTTAGAACTGACTCATGTCAACACTCCATGAGGCTGTAAATCACACAGGTAGAGGGAGACTCCTCATCTCTCTCCCATGAAGCTGCTGGTAGATTCTAGCGATCAGAGAGACTCAGCCTTTGGGTTACCAGTGGCAACTCCCTATGGACTGTGCAACCTTGATTGAAAAAAATAAATAATATAAATATGTCTCTTGTGTGTCAGGAAGTGTGAGGATGGCACAGGAAAGAACAGGGTGCAGAACTTTTGTTCATAGGGTAGCTATGAACTGTACTTGAATCAATGACACCTAACAACAACAACAACAACAACAACTGTGTTTTCAGTCTTGCTCTTGATTTATCAAAAAAATAGATTCCGTCTAGGATTTCAAATTTTTAAATGGAAGCAGTTGGCGGCTATATTTTTTTTTTTAAAAAAGAATCATTTTATTAATTAGGATACTTCATTTTCCCACTCTCTTTACTATTTGTCTTTGGTTAACAAATATTTATCTATTATCCTAGCAAGGAGGAGAGAATGAACAATTAATTTTTACCAGCCCATCCACCTACTATTTGTAGGCTATATTGTTGTTGTTGTTGTTATGTGTTGTCGAGTCACTTGTGACTCATAGCGACCCTATGTACAACAGTTGTCTCTGACACTCCTATCCTCACTACCCCAGTGACTGAATCAATCCATCTCATCAAGGGTCTTCCTCTCCTGTGCTGTCCCTCCTCCCTCCCAAGCATGACATCCCTCTCCAAGGACTGATCTTGCCATGCAACATGTCCAAAGTATGTCAGGCAGAGCTTCAGAATCCTTGCATCCAAGGAGAAATCTGGCTTCACCCTCTCCAGGATTAGCTTGTTTGTTCTCCTAGCAGTCCATAGTATATTGAATGCTCTTCTTCAGCACCAAAGATCAAAGGCATCAATTCTCCTTCTATCATCCCTAGTCAATGTTCAGATCTCTGATGCATAGCAAGTAATTGCAAAGACCATGGCAAATATCAGGTGCACCTTAGTCTCCTGACTGACACCATTGCTCTTTAGTACTTTGGAGAGGTCTCTGATAGCCGACTTTCCCAGTGTAATTCATCTTTGAATTTCATGGCTGCCAGTACAGAAGTGTTGCTTGTAGAGCCAAGTAAACTGAAGCTGTCAACAGTCTCAATCTCTTCATCATCCGTCATAATGCTGCCAATCGGCTCAGTGGTAAGAGTCTTTGTTTTCTTGATGTTGAGCTTCAATACATAATGAAGGTTGCAGTCCTTGCACTATAGAACCAAGATAATGATGCTATGGAGTACTTGGGATTTGCAAATGTCTTTTCTTCTCTTACAACAGATGTTGGAGGACAGAGAAAAGATGTTTATCAATACTGTTGGCAAAGAAACACTGTTCACGATATGGCAGTCAAAGGGAATAGGAAATTATTATAACAGGAAGGTAACAAACTATCAAAGTTTTGCTTAGAGAGATGATGTGGCAGCAGGTGGTTAAGTTTGCACACTCTAGCCAGTTAAGGGTAAATTCAAGTTTCTGTATTTTCTTCAGCCTTCTGTCATGGAGTCGATTCCAATTCATGGTGACCCATGTGTGTCAGAGTAGAGCCATGCTGCAGAGGGTTTTCATTGCTTGAATTTTTAGTGGTAAATCTCCAGGGCTTTCCTCTCAGCTACATCTACATGAATTTGAACTGTCAACCAAAATTGCACCACCTAAGGGTTTCTATACTTATCAAATTTTGCTGTCAGTCCACCAGCAACTTAACAGCGACACCCTGATGAGAGTAAGCAAAATGGAGATGCCAATCCAGGAGAGGATCAGAGAGTCAATCCAGCTCAACTTTATTAGTATAAGCATGGCACTTACACACACAAGAAGACAGTATAGGGCGGGCTTACAGACATGGGACATGTGGATTGGTCAGGAGAACCTCAGCCTTGTGCGGATCGCAGATCGCCCCTGGCCCAAAAAATGAGGCAGCCGTCTTCCCAGGTGGCAAGTTTCTCGAGCCTATGCGGCCAAAATAGGGGAGTTTTCTCTACCCCGTATTAAAGGCTGTTGGGAGGCTTGCACCTGTCTGGTGCTCAGGCGACCCGTTCTGGCCAGAGGACTTCCCTTCCTCTCCAACATTCCACAGTAGTCAGGTATATGATTCTGTGCAACTTACTAGATTTCCTCCTCATTTAAAAGAAAGTAACAATGGAAACAGCCCAAAAACTGACCACGTGAATGGATTGGGAAATTGTAGTTCACACAATTGAATACTATATCACATTCAAGAGCAACAATTTCAAAAAATACTACATAACTTAGGAGAAACTGGAGAGCTTTATGCTGAACTAACTCAGTCTTATAAGGACAAATACTGCATAAGACCATTATTATAAAAATAACTAGTAAAACATGAGACACAAAGAGGGAGCAAAGGGATGAGGATGAGGATGGGTAGGAGTGAAATCACAGGGATGCAAAATTTGGGAGGGTGGAGGGAGAGGTTAAAAAAAATGGGAAAGATCTGGTGAGGACCTGATGGGCATAGTCCAATGAAAATTCATTTTATGAAACATAATGTATGGGAATGATTGTATGAAATGCAATGTGAATAAAAAATTGTTTAAAACACAATGTATGTGAACCTTGTAAACAAACCAATAGAAAACATTTTTTAAAAGGAAGTAACAAAAATATGTACTAAATATGGTAATTATGGAGATTATATGACATACTTTTGAAGCTAGTCTAGAAAGGATTTTACCAAAGCACACATTCAGCAAACATAGGCTGTTATTACGACCTTAAACAAGAAATTCATTCTAAGCGCTAGCTCCTTAAGTCATCAAAACTCATACTGAAGGTCTGATCAGTCTGCAAAGTGAAGTACAGCTTTCTTGCCTTCCATTTGGCTACCTCTCCTAGATTGATAACCAGCAGAAGAAAAAGAAAAGAGCAGATAGGTAAGGGTCAACATTAAGATCCTTCTCTGCAGGTGACACAAACGGGTCTCCAGTTGAGAGAAGTTTTTTTTCTTTTCTTTGATGAGCCCTACCTTGAACTCTCCGAGGAATTTGCTTTTTAGTCCTCAGTACATTCTCAAGGTGTAGTAAGAGAGTCATAACCAAATTAGAATTCCCAGAAACAGATAAAGGCACAACAGTTGACCCATATTCCTCCGGATCCATTTTCCTGGCAATTTCATTGTAGTGCTGTGAAGCGTTCTCAACCTTTAAGAGAAAGGTTATGATACCGAGACATCCCATTATCTGAAGCAACATTAGCTTCCAGTTGCGCCAGCTGAACATGGCCCTCTTGATGAACATGGCTCGGAACTGCTGGCAATAGTGGGACCACTGGTGAGAGAAGAGAGAAACAGTATTACAATAGTCACAGACCTTAATGGGTCAGTCTGGTTGAAACGCAAGAAGAGGTGTACTTTGAAATGTTATCAAGGGCAATCCACAAAACTTACATAAACAAAAATGTCTGGTCTATAATCTAAAGATAATTAACCAACAGGATGACAGTGTAAATGGTCTTTTGTTCGCATTAGGCAGGGGACTACAAACTATGGCCACTTTGTAAACACAGTTTTACTGGTATACAGGTCTGTCTATTTACAGACGTAGGTCTGTAATGTCCCTGGGTGTTTGCAGACTACAATAGAGTATATGGTCCAGAAACTGTATAAAATACTTCTTTATCACCTATCTCTTTTCAAAAGGTTTGCAGACCTCTGCTGTAAGATATTAAACAAAATGGTCAAGGTTTTTTATTTTTATGTGTTGTTGTTGCTTAATGCCGTCGAGTCGTAGACGTCTCATAGCGACCCTATGAACGAACAGCCTGAGCACTGTTCGTACATAGAGTTTCTGGAGGCAAGCCATTTTGGAAGTGGATGCCGCTCCTGCTTCCAGGCTTGATTTAGTGGGAAGCTCCATCCAACACTGTCCACCATGGGTGCCCATTACCACGAATCACTGTCACAGTCTTCAGCATCACAGCAACCACGAGTTACCTCTGTACAGCAACGCACAGACCAGTGCTATACCACCTAGAAGATTGTTTACATATTTTTATGTAAAACATGTAAATTTCAACAAGATTATTTCCTTCATTGTTGTTGTGTACTGCCAGGTCAGAGCCAACCCACAGCTGAGCCTCTGGCGGGTTTTCAGAGGCAGTTAATCACACAGGAGGAGATTGTCCATCTTTCTCCCACAGAGCATCTGGTGGCCTTGAACTGTGTGCCTTCAGGATTGCTATACAGTTTCTTGTCAGCAGAGCTCCCTACTGGGTAGAAGAGTAAAATCACATCCATTTCTCTTGTGGTTTGTTTTGCTTGTTTTTTTTGTTTTTTTTTTTCTCTCTCTCTAAGGGAAATGAAAAAGGATGACAGAAAAACAACAGAAAAAAATTTGATGCTTTTGAGTTGTGGCGTTGGAGAAGAGTACTGAATATCCCATGGACTGCCAAAAGAACAAAGCATATTTTGGAGAAGGTACAGCCAGAGAACTCCTTTGAGTTGTGGTGTTGAAGAAGACTACTACCAAAAGAACAAACAGATATGTTTTGAGGAAAGTGCAAGCAGAGAGCTCCTTGGATGACACAAAGATGACAAAGCCTTTGTCTCACATACATAGATCATGTTGTTAGGTGAGGCCTCTCCTACTTGGAAAGGTGGAGAGTTAGTGAAAGTAAGGAAGACTCCTCAACGAGATAAATTGACCCAGTGACGGCAGCAAAGGACTTAAGTGTGTCAGAGAAGATTGAGGATGACACAGGATAGAACAGGGTACAGATTTGCTGTTTATAGGGTAGTTGGACTTGATTCTAACAACTGCATTAACAAGGGAAAAATTCAAATAAATTTTTGTACTAAACACACACATATATAAATATGGCATTACAGTTTAAATGCCATATTTCAGTTATTTGACCACAATTCAGAAAAAATGTCCTTACTCTAAGAAATGTTCTCTGAAAGAGAAAGAATTTTTCTATATGCTTCGCTCTGTAGAAGAAGCAGACTAGAGAGTTCTATAAAAGCTATGAAAGCTTTTCTAGAGATGGCATTGTTAAGTGCCACTGAGTCAACTACAACTCATGGTAACCCCATAAACAGGAGGCCACAGTCTTGCCGCTTGCCGTGTCCTGTACCATCTTCACAATCTCCACTATATTCAAGCCTGTCACTGCAGTCACCGTGTCAATCCATCTCATTGAACATCTTCCTCTCTTTCACTGTCCCTCAACTTCTACAAGGGCACACTGGTGGTCTTGACGTATGGAGTTGTGTTGTCAAGTCAAAGGCCTGAAGTTCAAATCTACCAGTTGCTCTGAAGGAGAAAGAAGGGCAACTTATTCTTATGTGATCTGTTATTGTTAAGTGTCATTGAGTTGTCTACGACTCATAGCCACCCTATGCTTATAGCTCAGAATCCTGCTCTATCCTGAGCCAATCTCACTGTCTCTGTCACATCTCCCTTTATTATATCAGTATTGTGTCAATCCATTTCAACTAGGGCCTTCCTCTCCTGAGCTGTCCTTTTATCTTTCCAAGTATGATATCTTTCTCCAAAGACTGGTCCCTCATGGTACACACCCAAAGTAAGAGACACAGAGTCACAGAGTCTCAAAATCCTTGCTTCCAAGGAATAGCTTTGTTTCACCCTCTCTGGGACAGATCTGGTAGTAGTCTTGGCAGTCCATGGTATTATGATTAATACTCTTCTCCAGCACCACAACTCAAAGGCATCGATTGTTCTTCTGTCATCCTTAGTCACTGTTCAGTTCTCTGATGCACAGTACCTGGATCAGGTACACCTTAGTTTCTAGGCTGACATCTGAGTGACATCTTGCTCCTGTGTGATTTACAGTCTCTGAAACGTCAACTCAATTAAGAGTTGGTTCCAACTCAATGACTACTTTTCCAAGCCTGATAACTTTAAACAGAAGAATATACTGATTCAGGGATCCAGACTCTTTCTATGGCACATGGCCAAATCTTTGATCTACAATTTTTGTAAATGTATGAATAGGGAAAACCAGAAATGTATATACATGAGAAAATGATCTTAATCATACATTATAAGAAAAATTTATCGTGTGTGTTTTCAAGGTATTATTAAAATGCAAAATTTCACAAGCCATAAATGCTGAGGGGGAAAAAAAAATCATGATTTTCAGCTTTCATAGAAATTCACCCACTGATGTCAAGTCTTGGGTTTCCAAGTCAGCAGACTGACTGTCTTTCTCCAGCAGAATGGCTGGTGGGTTTGAACTGCTGACATTTCCACAGGGTCCTGTATAACATGTATCCTGCATTTCAGGCCCTCTATACTCAAGAATACTTGAGGATTTGTAAGAGGAATATATGCTTAGAAGGTGAATGAAAGAAATGTTTGGAAACTCAGAGACTTATTGCAAAGATGATGATTATTTGAAAATGCTCCCTTAGTTACTAACAATCCCCAACACAAACACGGAAGCATTTAAAATACTGGTCATTCTTGATTATCAAAAACCATTTGCAAGCTTCCACAAACTAATAACTTGGTTTTTTTCATCAACATAAAAAATAAATTCTAAAACAGAAAAACAATGCTAAAGAAAAACAGTGGTTGAAAGTAATAGCTGTAGTAGCTGGCGGCTTTATCTATAACTCAACGCTTCTATGTTACAGAATTAATTAGACATGGGACAGACGTTTCACACATGATGGTGCCTACTATCACTTAGAACTCTATATTCTTTTCACTTCAAATATTAATATAAAACATAACTCCTAATTAACTAGACATCTTTTTTTAAGATGCTTACCCCAGTATTAAATATAACAGTAGAGCTATCCATAAAGGTGGGAGAATTGGCTGTGTCAAGATGTGTGGAGGTATTCACATTCTGGTTCTTGTTTGAGGTTATGTTCTCATACAATGGAGTCTGAAAAGTTTGAGCAGCCTGAGAATCTGCCATATTACAGACCCTGTGTGAAAGATAAATGAACAAACAAGAGTGCACAAAGCATTCCATGTCATCATTATCTCAGTACATTGTGTTTGGAGAAAGTGCGTGACAGACTTCACCTGAGAGGGCTACTTGACTTCATCAATGACTCTAAGCAGCATTGTATGGAGACAACATGGTAATTATGATAGAAGTAGTGGTTTCAAAACACTAGAGAACTTCCAGAAGTCTGAAGTTGAAGTGAGAAAAACAAGAGCAGGGAAATGAGTGTTTCATTAAGTTGAACTCACTCAAATCAAAGACTAACATCTAATTCCAACTTTGGATAAGTGAAAACCTCCAGTCTTTTTTTAAACAATAAGAGCAATGATTTTTCCCCCCTTGTTGTTTATATTGTAACTATTGTTCTTGTGCACTGCAGAGTCAGAACCAACTCATAACCGATACTACAGTAGGTTTCTAGAGGCAGTAATCGCAGGGGAGGAGACTGCCAATCTTCATCCATGGAACTGCTGGTGGACTTGAACTGTGTATCTTTGGGTTGGCAGAAATTTTGAAATGTGTGAAATCTGAAAGTTTGGTGGGCTTACAAAGGAGAAGAAATGTTTCCTTACCTTCCAGGATTTTTCTTTTCCACAAGCATCATTACTCACCTAAGAAAGACTTCTTCAATAGTAGTAACAGAGGCACCAAAACTGGCAATGCCGAGCTCTTTTTGTCTCTCTTCTATATCAGTAAACAAAGCCTGAAACCTGAATGGAAAAAAGGAGAGGAAAATAAAAAGCTCAGTATCAAATAGCTCAGGTATGGATTACATCTCAACATAAAGAAAACAAAAATTTTCACAACTGGGTCAATAATCACATGAAGATAAATGAACAAAAGATTGAAGATGTCAAAGATTTAATTTGGCTTGAATTCAAAGTCAACAATCATAAAAGCAACATCCAATGTTGTTGTTGTTATGTGCCATTGAGTTGACTGTAACTCATAGCAAGCCTATGAACAACAGATCTGAACACTGTCTTATTCTGTGCCATCATATCGTCCCTGATATTCTAGAGCCCACTGCTCTAGGCTTTTTGGAGGGAAAGCGCCAAAGAGGAAGACCCTCAATGAGATGGATTGATTCAGTCACTGCAGTAAAGGGGATAGGTGTGTCAGAGACAGGAAGATTGGCACAGGATAGAGTAGGGTCTAGGGCTGCTGCACATAGAGTCGCTATGAGTTAAAAACAACAATAATTGCTCTAGGCACTCAAAATGAGTTCAGAATTCAAGATGGATTCAGAAAAAGCCATGGAACAAGGGATACCATTGTTGATGTCAAACAGTTCTTGCCTGAAAGCAGAGATATTTACTTGAGTTTTATTGATTATACAGGAAAGCTTTTGACTATGTGGATTATAAAAAAGTATAGATATCCTTGAGAAGGATGGGAATTCTAGAAGATACAACCTTATTTGCAGAAAGTGAAGAAGATTTAAGTCACTTATTAAAGAAGATCAAAGACTGACATCTTTTCTCTTTAGGACTTCTGAGAGGTCTTTGATAGCAGATTCTCTAAATGTAAAAATTATTTTTTTAAAAAACAAAACAAAACAACAAACTGGTTTATTTACAAAATTCAAATACATTGTTTTTCACACCAGATCCTTCCCTCACATTTCCCTTACCCCCTCATCAAATTGTATGACCCCATGATTAATTCCCTCCCCTGCACCTCCTCACCCCTCTGTTTCCACTGTCCCCCTGACCTTCAATCCTCATATTCATTCAACAATACTGGTTTTATACAGTATTTGACCTTGTGGGACTGAGTTAGTTCACTCAGCATAATGCTCTTCACTCCTTCTTAAATTAGGTAATAATTTTATTCTAGTTTACATACAAAGTTCATATACACTGCTTTTCAACAAACATTTGGCAATACCATCTCAGACAAGGGGCTAGTAATAAAAATCTACAGAATCCTACAGGGCCTCCAGAAGAAAAAGACTGATAATCCAATTACAAGATGGGCAAAAGACATGAAAAGACTTCACAGATGAGGACATTCAGATGGTCAACAGACACATGAAGAAATGCTCCAAATCACTGGCAATAAGAGAGATGCAAATCTAACCACAATGAGATACCTTCTTACCCTAGTAGCAGTGGCAAAGTTTAGCACGGCATCAAGTAATAAATGTTGGAGAGGACGTGGCAAGATTGTAAATGGTAAAATCACTCTGCAAGGCAATTTGGCATCTCCTCAAGAAGTCGAACATAGAAATTCCCTATCACCCAGCTATTCTACTGCTTGGAATTAGACCCTGAGAAAATGAGAACGGTTCATAGCAGCATTATTCACTATGGCACAAACATGGGAACAGCCCAAATGACTAAATGTAATAGAATGGATTGAGAGATTATGGTACATTCAAACGATGCAATACGACACAGCATGCAGGAGTAATGATTTTGTAAATTACTACCTAACATGGAGGGAATGGAGAGTATTATACTAAGTGAAATAACTCACTCTCATAAAGACAAATACTGTTTGAGACCATTATTGTAGAGCATATACAAGGATCCAAGGA